ACGATATTATCAATAAATGTCCGTTTAGGACAGTTTTTTTCTTTTATTTTAATTTTAACTTAGCATGGGTTAACAGCTGTTTGGTATTAACATGTATTTTCCTGTAAAGGATTCTTCGACTAAAATTGAATGGATATTGAACAAGTCTTGAATTTAAATGGAATATGATTTAGGTAACCATCTTTAGTCCTAACTGATATTGAGAAGTACAAATACAAAGTAAGCCACGCCCATATTCTTGTTATTCTGTTTTAAGTTTTTGGGGAAAATGGGAAAACATGATAGCCCACCCACAGAACATATAGTAATTAATCATAAACTGTAATAAAAATCGGTAATTTGTTTTAAATAATGTTCCTTGCACCCTCTAGAATAATTCACGGTCTAATAGCATCCGTATTTATTATTTATCAGAGTTCACCATTAAGTACTTACACAATGAATAATTACTCAACTTTTTTCAAAAGGAGAAGACGATATTAATAATAATAATAATAGTCAGGTTCTAAATTGTAAATAAATAAATCTACTTAACTACTATATCTTTAAATTATATTAACAGCTAAATATTTTTCGAATTTAGATTTTCATTCGAAAATACAAAGTATCATTGTGATTTTATTGTATTTATAATTTTATATTTCCATTTTAAAATAAAATGAATTTTTTTATTACTTTATTTTCCTGCCTTGAATATTTTGCTATACATGTACAAGAACGTCAGAGCAGCTATGGTTGTAAGGTTTCTATGAACTAAAATGCATTCAATTTTCTTTGATATTTGTCTTATTTCAACTATATGATTTCGTATTTAATATATTTATTCTGTTTTAAAAAAAAATTAATCATTTTCTAGTTGCGACACGCTGTTTTTGTTTGAAAACAAGAAACTGAACGCTTAATATCCAACCATAGTAAGTAGGTAGTTGGTTAAAATTACAAATATAAATGAAATCATTTTTAAAATTTTTTTTCATTCTACATGATTCACACACACACACACACACACACACACACACACACACACATACACACACACACACACACACACATATATATTTTATTTCGTTGTGGTGTCGCTGTATGGGGGTGAACGGTCATTTGCAAAATATTTGCCCCACACACGTATAACTGACAACATTTAGTATGGATATAAAATTACTTGCAATTATTCTGTGCGAAATAATTACATATTTACATTGGTTGTATTACTGTATTAGTATATAGTATATAATATATTTAAATTATATAAACAAATACAACTTGAACAGTTGAACATAATACACGAAGGACTACATATTTGTGCTGTACACGTTGCGTGTATCCCATTATCAGTATTATCCCAAATCCGAACGCGTAAGTATTTATTTGATTTAAAAGGATTGAACACGCGTTTGCATAATATACGTACTGAGCATAGGTACCTTTTTATAACACGATTACATACGGATAATATTGTATTTGAATTGTGCAACGTTGTCGTATTTACTTTTACATTAGGTAATATTATAACTTATAAGTCAAATACGAAATGTACGTTAGCTGCTATACCCACACAAATTACCATTAGATATAATATTATGATTTTAATTGACATTCATGTAAACGTACAACATTGTGTAGGTGCACACGTCTTAATAATGATATCAAAACTTGTTTTGAATTGCTTGGCTTGAAACTGTTCAATCGGATATAATGTAAATAAATATTAGCGATGCGATGGAATGAAATAAGCAACGTAAAGCTTATAAAGTGTGGCAAAGACGTATAGTTACGAAAAAAGTGCGTAGGAACTTAACGATTAAAATGTAAGTTCTTACATTGTACCTATACTGTAGTCGACTAACTTTTTGTATCCAATGCCAAGCACACATTCCCAACAATAAATGATTTAAAACTATTAATTATAATAATTATTACAAAATATGAGATGCGATCCGGTAATAAAAATACCATTCTATCAAAGTCATCTCCTCTGTCTGTATAGAGACTTATTGCTCAATAATATAGAAACATAACTATGTATCCGATTTCCACGAGGTTTATTGTTGGTATTTTATATTTTTAGGGCGGTTTTATGTGTTTACAGACCCCAACTAAAAAAAAATGTTTTCTGTGTTTATTTACAAAATATAATATAATATAATATTATGTAAATGTGAAATCATATTTTATGCTTTCAAGGAGAATAGGAATTTACAATATCTAACACAGCTAAAAATGGACTGTAAAAACAAAACAATAATATTAATATAATATTATTCTAGTGGTTGGCAAATAAAATCAAAAACGCAATGTTTTTGATTTTCGCGATAAAAATATTGTTACAATTATTATTATTATTATTATTATGAATTTAAAGATAACGACAAACATGAAACAACTAAAATAAAACGACGAAATGAAACCGAGGGAGTACACGCATATCACACATACAATATTATAGGTGTATTATACATTCTGTGCATTTATACACACCAACCCACCCACCTGAGTAGTACTAGCTTGAATTATAAATTTAACGCTTTAACTGCGTTTGAACCAAAACAAAATGCTTAAAGTTTACTACACCAACGTATCATACACGCACGAAACTTTGACGTTGGACAAGATTAAATGTTGTGCGTATAATAACGTAAAATATTCAAATTTTCGAATGCCAACTCGCAACAAAAAATGCAATAACGCATCAAAAACTCGACACGTCATAAGAGTCGTCATAACCATTGTACCATATTGTATTCATAAATTAATTAATTTTCGCCACACCGTGCATAATTATAAAGAATATTATATATTTTTTTTTACGATTTAGATGTTTTTATAATTATTATTTAATATCTATTACGTTCCGCCTTTTACGTATAAGTCATAGCCAACGATAGTATAATATTATGTATACGGGTATCAGACGTTGATGCTTTTAACACGAAACTCTGGTGTGCGACTTTATCACAATAATACGATTATGATTATAATTTAAGTGTGATATAATTTTAATAAGGAGTTGGAACAACGGGTGATGGATTAACGTTGAAGGAAATCGAAAAATACCTACCGTGCACATGTAGGTACGTAATAATTAGTAGTGGACTTCAACATTTTGGCCCGGAAGTGACTTTTCAAAAGGCCCCCTTGGGATCGTGTTAAGTGGTTGAAACAGAGGGGCGGACAATTTTAATTTCAGAATTTTGCTTATGCAGTTAGTTAGTTAAATAATAAAAAAGGATGCACATTTTTCTGCCAACGTTTTCTAAAATACCAAAATATAAAATTTCAAACTTTTTATAATTAGAGATAGGCTGCAGTTGGTTAATTATAGGCGAAACGGGGTGTGCTATATAAAAAAAAAATATTAAAATTTATATTCAGTACAAAAATAATAATTATAGGGTTACCTGCAACCTATATACTATGGTATTTTAGGGACTATTGTAGCCTCGCTCATCCCTCTTATAATTAAAGCACTGGTAATGATACATTGCGTAGGAAAAACATTTCTAATTGGAAAATGGAAAAAGCTCGAGCAGATGTCTCGGCAAGAAGATTAAATGAAAAGGAAAATTCCTGCTACACGGAGACTGTGCTCCGCCCGTACTCAGGTGGTGGACGTCCGTCACAAGTCGTTGGCGTGGATAGAAAAAAAAGAAAGAATATAATACTCAAGGTGGAGTACAGGAGTTGACATATTACATGGAACGTTAGATTCCTTCTCCTTCGTGCGTGCACTATATTTGGGTTCTGCAGTTGAACTTGGAATACTGCTCCTGCAGTAGATTTATACTCACCGAAACTAGACGAATCTAGATTTAAAAGTAGGTAAATAATGATATAATATATTAGTGCAATAAATAATATATATGCGCAATAATAAGTCTTCGGATTAAAATCGTATAGACTTGGGCTCGTCGACAATTGACAACGCAGATTGATAGACCGGGGGTAGACGTTTTTAGGATCTTATAATAATAATAATAATAATATTTTATTTTTGCAAATATAGGTATACAATGCACAAAATAAAACAGACAAATAAACAATATGCAACATTCCCTGTGAACATAGCTTGTATTGGAAGGATCTTGCAATTATTATTATGAACAATGCGACGTATATATTTTTTCTCTGTTGTTTTCGGGACGGATTCACTGTTCGCCTATCAATTAAGCTAATGCGTTCTTAATTTATTACTTACATTTGGAACTCAAACATAATATTCATTTTTCGTTACTAATTTTCGTGTTTTACAGAACATAAAAATTTAAGAACTAAAATTTCGATCAGGGTTGTTTTTTGTTTTTAGATATTTTTTTAAGTGTCATTCTTAGGATGTTTTATTTCGGGCTTTTCGTGTCATCGCGGTGATTACACATCATATCGATGTACAAATGCGTAGGCATATCGCGCTGCACTCGTCACTCATCGACGAATACTGCAGCAGCCGCTGCACCTTGCGTGTCTGCATAAATGCACAATGATATACACATGTGTGGGTATACTCCGCAATCGTCGTTTGCGCGCGGGTGTGCACAGTGCAGTATATAGATACCCACGTGCAATATATTCGCGGGCGGGTTCGTGATGGTGGGGGGGGGGGCGAGGGGCGAATTCGAAAACGAACATCGAAAAAACCACGGGCCCGTCGGCCGCGGCGTGCGATGATGTGCACACCGTCATCGTATCGCACGATAATTATTGTCGTCGCGGCCGTCGCTTTTCGCGGAGGAGATACGACCGACGCGCGTGCACATACACATCTGGTAGGCGTTTTCACTTTAGGCAGTATTGATTGTACGCAGTGTACGCGTTCGTGCCAACGTCGGGAAAACGGGTCAGGGCGCGGGCTTGTCCGCGGAGCGCTCGGGTCCTGCGGGCGGCCGACGCGCGATCCCGCGGCGGCCGATCGCGGACGACGGCGACGGCGACGACAACGCCGACTGACGACGACGACGACGACGGCGACGGCGAGTGACGACTCCGCCGAGAGTAGGTACGCGGCACCCTCGCGCGTCGCGACGATACTGCACCGAGTCCGAGGTTTTGCGGCCGCCGTCGTCATCGCCAGCGCACGTGCGTCGTCCACCCGACGTCAATCTCGACGACCGCGCGGAGATAGATAATATTATTATAATACATCGAAACGCGTCCGACCGTCGCTGTCACCGCCGTAACCGCCCCCCCTCCCCCCCATTGTACGGACGATGCTTGTCCGAGGGTAGATTTGAAATTTTTTTTTCAAAAGTTCGTTTGCCGCGGTTTTTTCTCGGCCCCCCCCCTTCCGACGACCGATACCGTTGCACTCTGAGAGTTCCGTCGCGCCGACGTCATGACTACGACGGTGGCAACTGCAGCAGCTCCGCGGCCACGACGAACCGTCCTCGTCGGAGTGCCGCGTCCCACGGCCGCGGTCGCGGTGCTGGCCGCTGTCGTGGTGGCCGCGGCCGGTGGCGGCGGCGTGTACGCCAAGCTCATGTCCACCAGACAGGCCGCCTGTACTCTTTCCGAATTCGAGTGCTCATCCTCGTCGTCTACCGTCGACGAAGACGACGACGACGTCACCACAGCCGCCGCAGTACGCTGCGTGCCGTCCATCAAGTACTGCGACGGCCGGCGCGACTGTCCGGACGGATCCGACGAACCTCACTACTGCACGCGTGAGTTCAACAAACAGTTTACAACGATTCGTTTTTTTATACTTTAAGTCACCCGACCCCTAAGACATCCGGTTGCGGGATTTAATACGAATTTTGAACGTTTAGTATATGCATGTCAGTCGTGTATAATATAAAATTAATACAACAGTAAATATAATATAGAGCTACAGAATATAAAAAAAAAACAGACACTTTACTATTCGATTTGGGTACAAGTTGAAGATATCGCGTGATCTGTTCTGAAAGTTTCGAGGGAACGATGTAATCAATTATAGGGTTTTGATCAATTCGGGGTTTATTAGATTTAAGATATTCGGTCCGGAACTTTGCAGCGTTTTGTTTGCAAGTTTTCAAAAGTGCGGAATTCGGTTGTTATGAGGTATTTATAACGTTCTGGAAAACTCTGCACAAAAGTCACACTGCAGGTTCTTTAGTGCATCCGATAATACACTGGACGATATATCATATTATTTCATATTTTCATAACTATAATATATACGTTATGTACGTGCAGTCTGCACCCTTATATACATCGATATTATCGTTATATCGTATTGTGAAGGTATTACAGTGTAGTATATCTATATAGGTACTATAAACATATAAATATATATTCATACACAGGTGCACACGTAAACGGAAGCACGCGGAATGTTTTCGACAAAAACGGATGTCCTGTAAAATCATTTCACTTCACATTACATTTTGCCATGGATTTTTTCCTTTCAGCAGTTGTTGGGGCGTTGAGGACGGATTTTTTTTCCCGCCACTCTAGACGGTCAGTCCGATAATATCATATTATAAAGTACGGGGCCGCCCAGTTACCGCCCCTCGAAATACCTGCACCGAGTGACACTGACCTGCCGTTACGGGAAAGCTTTCGCGGTGTAACATTTTCCCACAGCCTTCCAGTGAAACTAGCTAACACCATCGATCGCATCCAAACCGGTTGATGTTTAATATCTTTATTCTTTTTCGTGTTTGTCGCCTATGTCGCTCTACTCTCATAGTTAGAAAGTATCGATATATTAATGCACCCCCTCCCCCATATATGCACCACTATATCGTATTAAATATTTTCAAGTGTCTCAATATTTTGCGGGACGCAGGTGTTGGTGTGCGTTTTGCATTCATTTATTTAGGTGGGTATTATTTTGCTCAAACATCCGAGTTTCGTAAAATTAGTTTTAGGGGTATGTAGTAATATTTAGAGACGAGGAAAGTGCTGGTCGGTTTCGATCAACATCTGACCATCGATCAACTTTTTATGATTTACCTACAAGTTAGTGTTAAATATTTGCAACCCATAAAACGATGTGAAATGAAGCCGATGAATATGATGTCCGTGGTCACGAATAGTATATTATTATTATATAGCCGTCTCGTTTACCGGGAAAATGGTCGTAGCGATATTTATAACCAAATGAATAATATACGAGTCCCGCAGACCGCGAACGGTCGAAAACTTTCCGTCGACAATCGTCGATTTAATAAATACTGCACGCCACGTATAGTAATGTAGTGTGTATTATTATTTATTAAAATATTTAATATTTATAAACACCGACCGCTCCCTCGGAATATCATATACCGTGATTTCGTCGAAAATCTCTTCGCATTTAATGCGATATTATGTTACATAACTCCCGTGCACATGGTACATCGTAAAAGTTTAGTTAGTTCAAAACTGTATTAAGCCTCGACCGTCTGCTGCAGTTCATTGATACATTTGATTTTATAATTTTTATTTTCTATACTATACCTTCACTCAATAATGACTTCTACTCTTGTTGTAATATTAGTTTAACCCATAACTTATAATTCAGTACAAACGACTAATAAATAATAATAATTAGGTACGCGTATTTCCAACATCGACATTCATATTAATAATATGTAGCACTGCGAGTAGGTACATTGGTGTGGTAACGTAAATTGATAATATGGAGAAAAACGAGTTTTTAAGTTGTTTTAGTATCTTAAATTACCGATATATAAATAAAATGTATTTAAAATGTTTGAAAATTGTATATTATATTATTAAAAGTGTTTACAAAAAATGCATTCTTTAAAATATTAATACATTTGTTGCATTAATTAATAACTTTTTTACCTATGCTATGATGTATTATTTTGAGATGATACACTAATGCAACGGTATTTTTAAACAATCTGTTTGGGCATTGCAGTACCTATAATAGATCAAAATAATACACTATATACACTATACAGTACATACATTGTAGATAATTTATTAATTTCGTTTAATGTTTATACACTATTATGTAGTTTAATGCATTCAATTTTGTCAGTACGACATAATGTGCACGAGCACGACTAGTGCATTGTAAATAATGCTATTTTTACCATAAAAAACATGTAAAATCATCAATTCTCTGAGTTACTACACTAGGTAATAATGTACTCTCAGTGCGATATTTACTTGTACATTACGGGCGACTGGCTAATAAGTGACTTCGTATTTATAATAATATAGAACACGACAGATGTCAAATTAAATAATTTCGATTGAACATAATCGCCACGATATTATATTATTAAATATTCTAGATTAGTATCCAAAAGTACTCCATGGTCGACAATTGATTAAAAAAGATTATGTCAATTTTAGCAATTATTATTTAATAAAACGGAGTCTTCGTCATAATAATATTATATCAATCATCAATCTGTCTCGTACCGTTTCGAAATAAAACACGGTGGTACGATACATATATAGTGTTATATTTTTCTAGGAAACAAACTCCCTACAAAACGTGTCAGCCGTCGGGAACAATAGCTATTGACTATATTTTGAAATCCAATATCGAACACGCGTACATTGTATTTTTGACGGGACCATAAAGTGAGGATGAAAAATAAAATATGTCAATTCTTATTCTTATGGTTGCAGTTTTCGACGTATTCGACTATTTCATTGCACATTTATAATAGAATTTGTATAGGTTGGGACTTGGAATGGATATACAATAATATTGCAACGGTGTTTAAATCAATGTATTGTAAATTAGGTAAACATTTAAACTAGTTATTTGATTAGGTAAGAGAAAAAAACACATTTTTAAAATAAAAATACGTTTTAAATTGCTTGTTTATTTTTCTGGGAAGCTTTTGACATTAAGTAAATACTAAAACCTCGGTAAATTAAAAAAAATAAATATTTTATGACATTTAAAGTTCCTACTGTAAAGTTGGTCATTCACGTAGAAGACATGTAATATATAATAATAATAACGATAATACATATAATATCTAATCTATGGTCTTCATATTGGAATAACTTACCTGCAAACTTTGCCTCGAGATATTACACCTAATATTCCTAATAACATTTGGTTTAGCAAATTTAGATCTGCATAGATCACATATTACACAATTTAACAGATTATGCATATTACCTAGTCATTCGTTCAAACTTGGTTTAAACAACTCTCCATTTTGTGCACTTCATCTCAATGAGTGTCATTAATTCTCTGAGATCTTTATATTGTCCCTTTAATCTCCACTCCATTCTCAATACTACTTGCATCTTCACTATTAAAAGTATTATCAAATTTATTTTGGATACTGGCTTTATTATATAATTACCTATGTGCTTAATGTAATTTAATTTGTTCTCTTCTATTATATAACTGTTGAGCTTTATTAATTGTTACTTAAAGCTATATTAATAAAATAAAAAAAATAAAAAAACGATAATACATCAATCATTCACGATATTGGTTCAACATTACCACTCTTTGTTACCATGAATAATATTGTTTACATAAATATGTAGATAATATTATATTATTATTATAATACGTATCTATACAATTTTTGGCCGGTCGTCTGTATGTTGCCAGCGCACGGTTTTACATATTATTATTATTATTGTACCGTTGATTTCACGCGTGTAATGAGGTCATGTATATAGTTTACACGGGAAGCGACGGTTCAGGGAGTTTGCGGTGAAAATGTATAGATTTTCAGTGACCACTCGAAATGTTCCAGCGTTTATTGAACATTATACACCGTGGGGCCTTTACACAAACTTGCGTACTCCGGTACGTGTAAAAAATAATTTAACGTCGTTTTGGGGCTCATTTTATGCTATCGACTATATTATAATATGCAGCTACCTCGGCGATTGAACATATATCTGTTGTAAAAATCGATAAATCTCATTGTATCTACCCTTTATTACAATATTAAAACCAAAATATGTTTATTTCATATGCAAAACGATCTGCAGGTGAAATAAAAGTACAGCAAACATACGGCGAACGACGTACAAATTGTTTGAAACTATCGAAATATCGACGGAGTAAATATAGAGCCAAAGCGTCAAATACAGTGTACGTACGCCTCGGAGAGCAATAATTTTCTCCAAGTTTTATTTTCCAGGGAAATCTAAAAGCAAGAACACGTATACCTACATTATATATATTCACATATATTTTAAAATAGATAGAATCCATGCAAACTTTACTGTTGGTTAGCCTTGGCACATCCAATAATATTTTCTTCTTTTTTTCGGGCGTAAATCGTTTTGAATCATTCCATGTAATAAAATATACAGATGTAATATTATATATATTTATATATATACATATATGCTCCTCGTGTATGCGCAATGTGCATATACATACATCTGAGTTTTACTCCACATATAGTGAATTTTATATGCGCTTATATGTTCACAAAAATATTTAGATAATCTGTGAATCTTCTCTTATTTTACCCATGTCGAGTTTTTTGTGTTTGAACATTTTTTACGACTTACAATAATAATAGAACTACACGGCGGTGGCGGATGACCGATAAAAATACACTGTAAACTTATACGAAATTAATAATGTAAAACTGAAGTTTGCGACAAAGCTAATAACCTAAATTTGTGTAAGTAGTTTCAAAATCAACTAATTCTATTACCTTATAATTAGAACGTAGATTTGTATGCATTTGCATATTTATTCTGCTCGATCGTTACAAAATTA